TAAATCAACAATCTTAATAGCAATTAAGATTAATTACATATTAATATTAAGATTTTCGAAATATTCAGGCTGACATAACACAACCAGTACAAAAAATTAACGGTAAAGAGTAAATATATAATTAAAATTCTAACCTTTCTTTGAAAAACTCGGAGAATAGAATTAGCAAGAACACTCAATAGTTTTTTGTAACTAAATTTATTTTTATGGTAGTAGGCTGAATATGATGTTGAAGTGATTTAAATAGGTGAAGTTTGAGATTGGGAGTATGGATTTCCGTGTAAAACAAAGGACAGTTGGGATGAGTTTGTTAAATCCTACGGTTGAAAAATGAGCTGAAGAAGCACGATCCGGGTAAACTTGGATTGGCCAATCCGGGAGCTTCATATTTCGGATTAGGGAAATCCGAATTTCTTTACCTACTGACACACGGCTTTTCACTCCTGACATCCGATTTCTTTTTTTTTGGTTTTGAACATTTCGGATTCACCAAATCCGTTTTTCACCGAAAATAAAACCTAAAGTCGGATTAGGAGAATCCGAAAAAAGGGATGCTGACAGCTCTGCAAACCCTAAGAAAAGTCGGATTAGCCAACTCCGTTTCCCGTAAATTGGTAACCTAATGCTGACATTCGTATTTTGGGAATGGAGGCATCAAACTCCCGTAAATCCATCCTTTCCTCAAAAATACAAGTTACTAATGAAAATAATAATAAAAATAAAAGTATTCATTAACAAAGTGCATTTTATTAAAAATGGACGTCCTTCAAGCGAATATAATTACTACTACGGACTACTTATTGAAATCCTCCAATAATCCTATACATATATACATATTTAAGTTAAATATTAATTTATTTTTACTTAAGGACTATCACTTGCAATTTATAAGCACTAGTATATTACCCATGCAAATATATTTTGAATATGTAAAAGTAATTTTTTGAACAATAGAAATAATTAATACATGCTTCATTTGTCTCGTAAAACTTTGTCAAATTTGACCGATATGTAAAATAATAAAGTAAAAAATATATGGTTGAAATTTGTTTTTAAATCACATACTACGTATTTATTACTTAAAATGAAAATTAAAATTACATTAAAACATTTGTAGTTAAAATTTGTGGAGAGACTATAAAATTAGAAATATATCTATATACTTCCTCCGTCTCACAATGAAGTTCCCGGTTTGACATACACACATATTTATGTAAGGTAGAGTTTTGTTTTGATTTTCCAAGTTTACCTTACTTTATGTCAAATCAAGCAAAAAGTGGATTAAAAGTAAGGGTAGTTGTGACTTTTGGAATAAAAGTGGTTTCCTTTTATGGAAATGAGAACTTCTTTTTGGGACATCTATAAAAATAAAGTGAGAACATCTTTACGGAACGGAGGTAGTATGAAGTGGGATATGTGTGCACAACACACGTAATGTTGTATAGAATATAGACAGAATTGTCAACTCTTGGATTTCCCCTTTAATTAATTCGGCATCAAGGGTCTTACTAAAAAAAATCCAGCATCTAGGGATTCAAAAAGTTATTAATCTATACAAATTTGATTCCATTATTTTATAGTAAATCATATAGATCTATATCTAAAAAAAATCATATCGTTCTATGTCTAAAAAATCATATAGCTCTAGAAAAGTAATAATTAGCACAATCGGACAGAGCAACCTTTTAACGCTTTTGAGACTCCACTTCTTTCAGCCCTTTCTTTTCATAGCATTCTCCCGAAAAACACCTTGCCTTGACTATTTGCAATCGGTCTGAGTCGGCCAGGTTCGTAATAGTCTCATCTCCAAGTCCCAACAAACATTCATCGAGTTTATAGCAGCGATTTTGAATACTTTAAATTACTCATCTAAAGTATATATACACATATATAAACACTTACATATATATACATACATATTAATACATTGTGTTCGCAGTTGCTGGCTACTGCTCTCCCAAACGTCAACCGCCTTAGCTACCCGGCCAAACCCAGTGATAACCAGCCACCTTAGTAATACTACTACAAAAAAAAAAATTGGGCCCTTCCATTTTTTTTGGGTCCTGTGCGGTTGAACAGCCTACACACTGCCAGGGTCGGCCCTGAGTATAAGATTGTTCTTTGTATTTCGTTACTTTGAGAGTGGTCATTGAGCCTATATATGATGTAGCAGTTCAAATCTCAAAGTTTTCTCTTAATTGTTTTTCATGTATTCACAACATGTAGCAACAAAAATTGCCAATGACTACTATTGGAAATTGGTGGTGTGGATGGTTGCGCTTACCGCTATACTAAAAGCAATCGCTGATTGTGTAGCACGCTCCTCCCCCTTTATAGCACAAGCGAAGCGCCACACGGTTCGATTGCACCAGCAGGATGACAGATTGCTTATACCGCATACCCACGGCCCAACAGAAGGAAAAGGAAAGAGAATTATAAAAATGAAAGGTTCGGATCATTTTTAATGAACAACATAGATGGATTTGTATTCCTATCAAGTATAGAAGATTATGACTCAAGCAAGTGTTTAGGACATTTTCTTTGAATATTACTAAATTAAAGCCAATTTTCAAAAATGTAATCATTTTTATAAAAGGACAAATATGTGACTAAGAAGATCATATATTTGAAACAACTTGATGTCACTGTGAAATTTTTATGTCACTGCTGAATTTTTATGTAACTTTTGAATGTCACTATGAAATTTGTAAGTTATTACCGAGTACTAGATTTTTATGCCACTTTTAGATGACACTGTTACCATGAAACATGTTACTATGACCATTTCCGCTCAGCTCCCCCCCTCTCCCCCGCCAACGACATCACAGTCACCCCATCCGCGGTGTAGCATTATGTGAATGAAGTCATTAAAGTGGCAGACTCTATATTTATTTTTAAGGTTTATGATTGGATCTATATTAATTAATTTGGTCCAAAAGGTGGAATCTCCCACCCCAGGAGCCCCCCATACCCCGACCCGACAGGATTTTTGGGAGGATGTTAATCACGGTGACTCAGTCGGCCCAATGATGGTAGGCCTTTTTCCCGTACGCACCAGAAGTCCAGCCTTATTTCAGGTTCTGTGACCTCCACACGGCCGCTGCGGATTTCGAACTTTGGTCACTTGGTCCAAATTTCCCATCACTGAACCAACTGAGCTACCCGTGCGGGTAGATCTATATTAATTAATAAGCGTGTTGAAGGTTGCATATATAGTTTCTCGGTTACTGTAAAAGCATTGTGTCAACTGTCAATAATGATCAATTCCAATTATTATGGGCTTCACGCCTTCACTTCATAAGTTATAGGGTAGAATTGATCTGGTTTCAATGGAATTAATATTGTACTCTCTGTCGAGCTGATCATTTTATTAACCAAAAGCTTAATTCATATTATTGACCATGACAAACTACGAGAAACATAATTAATAAGGATGAATTTGCTGGGATTAATTAATATACTAAGAGCCCTCCAAAGGAATAATTGATTTATAAGACTGAAAAGCTATAAAAATAACCAAATATCTATGGAATTGGTTGGTGTGGTTGTTTTTTATTACCAGCTCAAAAAGTAAGTGAACAACTACTTTTTCGGCTGAAATCTATTATCCTACTACTGAAAAATTAGAAGACACTTTCATCCCAACGTTTTGAACCCAAAAGCTCACCTCTGGAAACCTAGAACAATACTTTCGATCTGACGATCTCCCATAATGGCCCCATGAATGGATTCACGCATATAAATCATAGAAAGTATACTTGATTAGTCGTACGTATTAGATTGAAGCTTCTGCCTTCAACAAATATAATACTATCATTCGTTCTTTAATTCTTACAATAATTTGACTTCACGTTTGCCAACACATAATTTTGACTGTAATTATATTTAATTATTTATTAGTAAGCATTATAAAAATTTGATATTTTGGAAATTCACATTGATAGGAATTTAATAACATTTTATACGTAATAATTTGATTATGTATACTAGTAGAAAATCATGGTCAAAGTAAGGTATGTAAATAGTGCAAAAATAACAATGTTTCAAGAATTAAAGAACAGAGGAAATACATAGTATAGATCGTATAGTACACCACTCTAACAACTTTTTATTTAACACACTCACACACATACTCCCTCCGCTTCTGAAACAAGTTTCACCTTTCCTTTTCGGGCAGATTCAAAATTAAGTTCCACTTTCAAACATTTCCTTATTTGGCAAATTATCTACATCAAAACAGTGTCAAACAGTGTTCAAACAGTGCCAAACAGTGTTCAAATAGTGTCAAACAGTGCCAAACAGTGTTCAAACAGTGTCAAACATTGCACTCCACAGTAAAGTCAAATTTATTTTCTTAATATGTGTGAAGTCAAATGTGGAACTTGTTTCAGAAACGGATGTAGTATTTAATACTACCTTCGTCCCGTTGGAAGGTTCTCATAGCAAAACGACACAGTTATTTAGAAAATAATTAAATAAAGTACTCCGAGTGTATTTTGAGAAATAATTTTAATAGGAATATATTATAATGTAATTAGTATTGATAACTGTGATGTTATAAATGCATTATTTTAATATTTAATGATTAATTTGTCACTTAAGATTGTTAATTTTATCCTAAAAATGGAAATGAGAACTTTTATATGGACGTCCAAAAAAGGAAAGTGAGAACCTTCTAATGGGTGGGACAGATGGAGTACCTATTATGTCACTTGCACATTCAATACCAAACGATTCAGCTAGATTACATTCAGCTATTATGGCACTTACACATTCAGCTAGATTAATACCAAACACTCTCCCACTTCAAAAATTTCAGATATTTCAACCCATTTAGTAATTTCAGCTATTGCAGCCATTAGCAAAGAGGCCCTAATTTTTTGAAAGGAAAAGCGATTGACAATGTCCGTTTCTACGGCTGCAGTAAAAAAAATTATCCCACTTAGTATGTTGATATATGCAAAATACGCTCATTATGGCAAGCAAAAAACAAGCATAGGGAAAGGTAAATGCAGTGAAAACAACAACCTGAACAAATGCATCAAACATTTAACTTTACTACTGGTGTATATAACAGCCAGCATTTTTTTTCAAAAGTTAATTTTCAAATCTCAAAACCTAGCTTATTCACAATAAATATTCATTTTTTCCTATATACATAATAGACATGGAGTTATAGACAAACTAGATACACTAATCAGAAGTTCAGAACCAATTGGATTAGTTAACTGAGATTGATCTCGACACGTTCGGGGTTTGCCCTTTCAGATTGGTTGGAAGGGAGGGCAACCCCAAGCTGCCCTTTGTCCCCTGCCCCGAAGGCGTAAAGCTTCCCGGATTCTGTGAGGGCAAATGTGTGGGCATTCCAGTATATGGAATTGGTAAGACTAATCTGTACAACCCTCTCTTTCACTTGCTTCAATGATGGCACAAGCTCCGGGCTTAAGATGTTTGAGTGCCTATTTTCCTGAAATTTAAGCAGTCCATTGTAGAAATGAATCATCTGCATTCAAATAATAAGGCTAAGGCGGGTGGGGTGGGTGTCCAACTATCCAGGATCATGAGATTAATAGCCCTTGACCTTAAAACTTGACTAACAAGCTGAGTTTGATGAAACTTGGTTAAATTTGTTGAGTGAATTGAATTTCTAAGTGCAGTTACTAAAAATAGAATTAATTAAGAAAATTATTTCAAAACTAAAGGTAAAGTTTCATTTCTGTTAGTTTCTGTCATTTGGTATAAAAAATTAACTTCTTCACTGTTTTTAAATTGATTGCTCCATTGCAATCACTTTAGTTAGGCTTCGTTTGGTATTGCTTTATCGCTTTATGTTCTTTCTATAACAAAAAAAAAATGAAATTTTGAATAAGTTGGTTTTAGTGTTTTTTGTTGGCGGTTTCCAAAAATAAGATGATAAGTATAGGTAAGATCATTTTTTCAGTTCATTATGCTCCATATATCATGTACCTTTTAAAACCAACAACAACAGCATCCAAGCCTTAATCCTAAAAGAATTTGGGGTTACCTTTTAAAACCATTAAACAAAAATTCCACACACCCTTGTTAATAGTTAATATAGTCTGTGTTTGGAAGAAAAAAATTTAATGGTGTGTGGAAGAAAAAATTTCACACACCCTTGCTAATAGTTAAAGAAGATGTTTTTACTTATTCAGCTTAAATGAATGTAACATAACACTTTTCCTTTATAGAAAATTCAACATTTCAGGCTTTTTAAGAAAAAGAGAACTTACCAACACTCTTAGCTCCCGTGTAAGAAATTATTGGGAAAATAACATGGTGTAAAAAGAATAAGGTCAAAGAGACCACACCTGGCCCTCCACTGCATTAGCATTGTTGTGTCCTAGGCTGGATGATTCTCCACAACCAAATGAGTAGACATTTCCATCTTCAGAAACCACGAAAGTGGTATAGTCTCCCGTGGCAACATGGACAGCTTTAATGTTGCTGAGGGCTTCAACAACCTTAGGAGCCGATTCACAATCTTCGTTTCCATGACCCAAACATCCATAACGGCCCCAACCCCATGTACACACCCTCCCATCTTTCCCTACCACAGCTGCGTGCCAAGCCCCGGCTGCAACAACAACCGGTTGAAGATTCAAAGTTTGGAACTTTTCAATCAACCGTGGGACCTTCTCATCTGTCCGTGTTCCATGACCAAGCTTTCCACCCAAACCACAACCAACTGAATATACAGACCTAAAATCACCATCATCCAAGAAAGTATGGATTACTCCCTCCATTACAAAATGTAAGATACATTTTGGGTAGGCTCAAATCTTAAGAAAATAAAGAAGATAGCTGTGATTTGTAGCATTAAAAAAACGTAGCATGGACTCTCAAAAGTAGAATGTGAAATCATTGATATAGATATGGTAAAGTAAAAATCTATTGGATTTTAAAGTAGGAAAATGCCCATAACTTTGGGACAAACAAAAAAAGAATGTTTATCCCGTACTAAGTAGTAAATACTGCCGCCTGTTGAAGAAGATATATGAAAGCTATGCCCAACAAAGATGGATAATTACTGTAGGCTTGTTTGGTTCAAGGATTTCGGAAGGGATGTGTCATATTTACTTTTACAAATAACTCTTACTTTAGATGGTTTGAAATAAAGTTATTTGAAAAAACATAGAAATACCTGATCTAACTCATCATATAGTTATTTGTAGTCTAAAACTGACTGAATAGATATATATTAGTAAAATTAAAGTTTAAAACCAATCCTCCAGTCTGAAATTTCTGAACAAAACAAACTCTTAGAGAAAGGCTTAAAATGTGGGATTATTTGATTCTTACTTGCTGTTATCATAAATAAATTCAACATAAAAATCTATAGAAATTGGCCAAATAAGAGGAAAAAGAATCAACAGTTGAAGAAATGGAAGTCCTAGACCAAATTTTGTAATGACCTGTCACAGATGGAAAATTATCTACTCATAGATAATTCTCGTTGATGTAAAAGAATTATCTATGAGTAGATAATTCTTTTGTACGAAAGGAGTCCTATTTCTAATAGTAAAGAAACATTAACAAGCATCTTTCTTTTTGGGATAGAGGGAGTAAAAAAGCATTATTGTTTACAATGTCATTGATATTATGTACCATCTAGACATGCTGGTTGGCTAGAGCACGAATGCCCATATCTAACTATTGTTAGTTTGCTTCAAAAGTGAGACCCAAGTGTGGCTGTGTGGGTCAGAGGAGGGGAAATTGGTGAGAGTGTGAGACAGATCTCTACCCTAAAGATAAAGTGTAATGAAGTGAGACACGTGTGGGTTGGATGTCTCAATTTGTGGTAAAAAATTTAAATATAGAGTATAATGAAGAGAGAGCTCACATGCCACTAGGTTGACAAGCCAGAGCTAGAAGGTAGCAATATCCTGCTGCAATTTGTACCACCGGTATAGTTTCAAGTTCCCCTAACAATGGGCGGGGCACTAAATCAGTTGATTCCGTTTGGTGACCAAGTTTATTTTCGTTACCCCAACAAAATGTGTACACCCTTCCCTCTCTAGACAACACGGCCGTGAAGAAATTCCCAATTGCAGCTTGTACAACAAATATGTCTTTCAAAGATTCTACTAACTGTGGGGTAGTCACTATTTTATTTCCTTGGCCACCGTAATCCGATTCACCAAATAGGTCCTTACCACACGCATAAACCCTCCCGGCATCACTAATCAGCATTGTCCGCCCAGCTCCAACTGCTGCATGAATGACGCGTACACCTTGCAGAGATCTGCACACCACAGCAAGAAGCTGTGTTTAGTTCACTTTCACTTCTCTACTCTAACGGGTAAAATGTACATGTTGAACTCATTCCAAAACGCTATGTGAGGGACTTTTGGGGATCAAATGAAATGTCCTCTGAGACCATGTGGGTTAAAAGGTTTACGACGAACTTAATGTTCTTTGACACCGAGTGAACTTTTACACTAAAAGGTTAACCATAGACACCAAGGTTACAAAAAACACTCTGTATCAACCTAATTTGGCGAGGCCTCCATTCCTCCTCGGTAGTCCCATGTCCAAGCTGTCCAGAGTTGTTGGAACCAAATGCATACACATCTCCTTTTGAAGTAACGGCAATACTATGGCCAGGCCCCGCTATTGCTTGTGATGACTCACGCCTGGAGCATGTTTCCCCGGCCAGCAAATACCTGAGGACAAGTTTCCAAGAACCCCCACACCTTTGCTTTAAGTCTCCCCTTTGCTCTTCACTCATTGGTTTAAAGATAGCTCTTTTATGGCACATATCTAGAGCCGCCAGCTCAGCCAAAGAGAGCTCAAAATCAGGAGGGAAATATGCGGGTTGCCTGAAGAAAGAACATGTGGCCTGCAAAACCCATTTTATAATTCAAATCAGCAGAAACATCTATTCCTCGAATCAAGAAAATGGGAAGAAAGAACTTGCCTCTAGTATTGCGAGGTCTTGAGGGTCCAGATTACACCCGGTGAGGACATGAAGTACAATGGATGGATTTGTAGATAATGGGAACTCCCCGGGACATGTGCTAACCAAACAAAGCCTCTGTTTCTTTTGAAATGGTGAAGCAATCGGTTGTTCATTGATGTTGCAATATTGAACACTCTGGGTCCCACTTGCGGTGGCGTCCATTGTGGGCACTGCCCAAACTCTGCAGTGCCCGGGATTTGTTATATAAGACAAGGCTTCCGAAATAACTAAAAAACATGATGGTAACAAGAATTAGTTTTCATGATCTAAGAGAGCGTTTGGGACAGCATACTTTCACAGTTTTCTTTTTATAGGAAGAAGAGGAATTTTGTTTCAAACATAAGTGCTTCGTATGAAAGTAGAAGAAGTATGATTAACTGTTAAAAAATTAATACTTTATTTTAAGAAAACAACATATTAGTGCCATTTTCAGGAGAACACTTCAGTGCTTAAATGCCAAGTCTCCTATGACAAATAAAATCACTCACATGATAAGTTATCGCAAACAGAGTTGATCAGAATTCCATAATCACTTCTAGGAATCCTGCAAAAAGCATTAAACTTAACAATCCATTCTTTTAATTTCTGCTGCCTGAGAGCAGCATGAGTTTGAAAATGGTAAACAAACGCCCTCATAATCATCCAATGATCCAAATGCAACTAATTACCTTATACTAAAAGCGGATAGAATTTTTAATTGTAGCTTCCAACCTCCTACAGCGACAATAATCATCATTGTCACTAGAATACATCTTAATGCAGTTTACTGACAAAAAGTTAACTGATCATGCAATACTAGACAATAAGTCAATAAGTAGACAATAACAATTTGAAACGACATCCTCTGTACACTAAATTGATGCCCAATAAGTGAATTCCTCAATTGGATCAAACGATCAAAAATGTAAGAAGAACATATACTGATAACTATTCAAAAGGCAAGAGATGACATCATATTCAACAGCACGCCGCATAAAACACAACCCAAACAAGAAACCCATTTCAGGAGGTTTTAGAAACAACAAAGGGAAGTAAAACTCATACGTGAAGCATACCCAATCTTTCCATATAATTCTACACCGATAAAAGAAAAGAACTTCCCCGTCAACACTCAAAAACCGACACAGAACATACACCAGATCAAAACTCCATCATCACAGATAAAAATTCTATCTTTGGTGATCCACAGCAAAAATATCATCAGGTAATTCCAGAAAAATCAAGAGAATATCAAATTAAGTGGGAAAATAAAACATGGGTGTCAATTGTTTCTGTGCATTGCGATCATTGCAGATCCAAGAAACAGAAAACTTAAGAAGCAAAAATTTACATTAAATGGAAACCCAAGGATTCATCAAAACCCATGCGTCGATGTATATCTCAAAGATGATATCTTAAGAGTTCCGTGTTTGTTTGCAAATTCACCCAAATTTAGATTATGTACAATTCTGATCAACACAAGAGTGTATTAGTCGGATCAAAGGGTCAAGAGAAAAATTAAGACTTGAGGGAGACGTTTGAGAGAGAGAGAGGGGAGAGAAGAATTATGAATGAGGGATGAATGATGAAACTATGTGTATATGATTATCGTGGTGTTAGCTTTATTTTCTCCGGGGGTGGATTGAGTTGAGCCGTAGAGAGATGATGACGTGTCTCTTTCTGCCACTGTCTATTATTTCATTTTTTATTTATGTAAAAAATGCAATCAAGCACGGAAATTTGTGCAGTAAGGAGTAAAGCACCACTTTTTTGAGTAAAAAAGCATCTTTGCCAACAAAAAATATGGGGCCATTTATCCAACGTTGTGCTCTCGTAAAAATTAAGAAAAATGATGTTTGTACACACTTTTGTACACACTTTTGTACACACCTATGTCTGTGAAAGCTTTTTTTTTGTCTGTGAACATCGATTCACAGACAATGTTTTGCACAAACAAAATATTGTCTGTGAACCAGATTCACAGACAAAAAAAAGCTTCACAAACATAGTGTGTACAAGGTGTGTACAAGGGTGTGTACATCAAGAATGGTTGAAAAATTAATTACCTCACTTGTTTTACCCGACTTAGTAAAGTTAGCTAGTTTGGATAATACTTGGTATTTCAATAAAGAGTGTGACTTTTTTGTGTGCATATAGATGGAGTTGTTTGTATATACACATTCGTCTCGAAATACAGAACTTGTTTGTAGACAAACAATTTTATCTGTGTAAATAAATAAAATATATGAATAGTGTGTACAAAAATATGTACAATTAACATTTTTGTATTTGAATTGATGTTGGTAACCAAAAATTTCATTTCCTACTTAATATTCAAATTCTCTATAAAAACAATTGAATACGGTAAAAACAAATTGGTATATAACTGAGAAATTAAAAAAAAGTTGAAGTAAATACTAAATATTGAGCGGGATAAATTATACTCCCTCCGTTCTTTTTTAAGTACAACGGTCAACATTTCACATTTGCCAACGCACGTATTTGACCGTAATTATATCTTAATTCTATTAGTAAAAAAAATATTAAAAATCAGATTTTGAATATTTGTAATGAGATGAATTGAACAATATTTTTTTAAAAAAATAATTTTCATTAAATAATAGCGTAAAATGTAGTCTAAATGGAGCATGTGAATAGTGTAAAATTCAACATGTTACGTAGGGATGGATTCGGGCCGGGCCTAGGCCCGGTCGGGCCGCCGGTTCTAGAATAGTGGGCCCGGGACCGGCCCGAGGGTTGGACGGGTCCGGTTCGGGCCGGGCCACCCGCCCGGGTCACGGGTCGGGCCACCCGCCGGGCCGGGCCAGGTCGGGCCGGGTAATTTTTTTTTTAAAATTTATATTTTATACTTTATAGTTTTATACAAGTATTAAAAAACAAACTTCAAGTGCATTTATTTGAAATGAAATAGAAACTACATTTGAAAATTAAATAGGAACTATAATTGTTTTTAATCGGAATCTCCGGCATAAGTAGAGCCACCCTCTGTAGATTCATCCATAAAGTGTTGTGATGGAGTGATGTCAATTTCTTGAGCTCTACGTGCTGCTTTCAACCAATCGTGGTAGCATATAAGCATCTCAAGAGATTCAGCGCTCAACCTCGTTCTGGTTTGTGTTAGAACATTGTCGGCCGAACTAAATTCTTGTTCCACGGCAACCGTTGAAACCGGCATTGATAGCACTTGCATAGCCATCTTTGCTAAAACTGGGAACATTCTTTCTTTTCCCTTCCACCAGTTTAGTACGTCAAAATCATCATCTTCTTCAAAATCAACATCATAAGTTAAATACAAAGAAATCTCATTAATTGTGCTTTGTTGTGTAGCGGGAGTTGATTTTGTTTTTTTAATAAGATTGGCAAACGTAGATTTGAAAATTGATTTTCCTTTAGATGATGTTTGTGTCGTGGGAGGGGGCGCATTGCCATATTGTGCATGAAACTCATTGAATAATGCATAAAATATATCACTAACCTCGTTGTATTCTTTTTTCGGATCAATTGGGTTGTCCTCATACATTGGCAATGGACCAAAAAAAGCAGCATAATAATAATTCAAACATTCTTCTAAAGAACCAAGTCTAAAACGAGGATCGAGAACAAATGCAATACCATAAATATGCGGAATATGTGAATAATATTTTAAAAACTTTTCCTTCATAAAACCAGCAAAATAATTCACATAATCAGCATTCTCAAAATTTGAAAAAGCACCGGCGAGATTAACAGCTTCACGAATAAATTGGTTTGAGCTAGGTTTATAAACATGACTAAAAGTTTCAGTTGCATTATTAAAATATATCAAAGCATTACAAATTTTTTCACAGGTGTCGATCTCAACCGAGTTTATAATATAGTTATCATATTGTTTCATAAAAGCAGGAAAATGTTGTTTATATCTAAGAAGAACTTCAATTAACTTATAGGTACTATTCCAACGAATAGACAAATCTTTTGGAAAAGCCACATATCTCTCACCTCTTTCTATCAAATAATCATGCCATTTTTTCCTAAGGTGTCCATTACCCCAAATACGTCTAATCCCCCCCTTGACTACCTCCAACGATGCTCCCAACGCTTTTAGACCATCTTGCACACATAAATTTAGAACATGACATGCACATCGTTGATGAAAAAATCTACCCATCAAAGAAGTAGAACCACACAATTCACGCAATCTAGGAATAGCAGCAGTATTATTAGTAGCATTATCAAAACCAATAGCAAAGACCTTATCAATTAAATTATACTCAATTAAAATACGTTCAATCAAAATATAAATATGTTCAGCGGTGTGACGATCATTAAATTCACGGAAAGCAAGAACACGTTTATGCATATGCCAATCATTATCAATATAATGTACAGTCAGACCCAAATAATGTAAAGTATGATAAGTATCCTCCCATATGTCAGAACATACAGTAACACGTCCATCAAAGTTTGCAAAATAATTTTGTAACCTTACCTTTTCCGCACCATAAAGCCTTGAAATTTCTTTCTTAACCGTTTTGCGACTATAACCTCTATATTGCGGATTTAAACAAGTTTGTGCATAATCACGAAAAGCAAGACTTTCAGAAAACAAATAAGGCAAATTTTCTTCAACAAGTAAGTTAGCCATACCTGTCAAATTTTGTGCATCATTGTATGAGAAATTACCAAAAGCTTGTTGGTTATTTGCAAACCTCGATATTTGCGTTTGTTTCCCCGTTCCGCCGCCTAATTTTGCATACTCCACCGGGTGTTTGGACTTAAGGTGTCTTGTGGCGGATCCGTATCCGCCGGAAATCCCCAAGCTATAGTTTTTCTTGCACCAATTGCAAGTTGCGGTCCAATTCCCGGTGTTCGGGTCCTTCCACTTAGAAATATTATTAGCCATTAATTCAGATTTACTTTTTTTTGTACCTGTTTGGGATGAGGCTGCTTGGTCGGCGTCATGGCTGCCGCCACCCTCCTCCTCCTCGTCGTCGTGGCTCTCCGGAATTGCTTCCTCCACATCGTCGTCCTCGTCCTCGAGCTCTTCTTCGTCAATGGTCCTCGGTTGGTCTTGAAAAAAGCGGGAATTATGTCGATGCAATTCTTGTTCTAGTTGTTCGTCGGTCATCGCATCCCCATCCCTCCTTACGTAACCCGTATCAAAATCATCTTGACTTTGAGATGAAGAGCCGAGATGTGATTTACCTTTGCGGGATCTCTTCCTCGCAAGCTCGTTCGTTCGGTTGCGCTCGAGGTTACCCATATCAACCGAATATCTAGGACGATCCATCTAAAAAATGTAGCAATTAATAAAAAATTGTAAAAAACTAATTAACTATTTATCTAACTATTAATTCGAGTTATAGCAAATTAAGTAGTGAATTTACTAGTTTTGTGTACAACATATTTTATTATTTTATAAACTAGAGTCAAATGTAGCAATTAATAAAAAATTGTAAAAAACTAATTAACTATTTATCTAACTATTAATTCGAGTTATAGCAAATTAAGTAGTGAATTAACTAGTTTTGTGTACAACATATTTTATAAACTAGAGTCAAATGTAGCAATTAATAAAAAATTGTAATTCCAACTATATTAATAAAAAATCGTAATTCCAACTATACTAATTAACTAGTAATTAAACAAGTGTAAATAATAGAATAATTTCGTACCTCTTTCGGACTTTCGGTCTTTCGGATGGGAGTAATACAATGACTTCAAATTAATTAGATATAATTCCAACTATATTAATAGATATAATAAATATATAAGTAATATATAATTAGATAACAAATATAAGTAATATAATACTATTTATATCTATTTATAGTTTATATAAGTAGATAATTAATATAAACTATAAATAATAAATATAATATATTGGAGAATGGAGAATAAGAGAATTAGAGAGTAGAGAGTTAAGAATAGGATTTAGGAAGAATTGGAGAAGAGATATGAAAAAATGTTTAAGATTAGGAGTATTTATAGGTTTTTTTACCCCCCACCCCCCCCACCACCCCCCCCCCACCACCCAACCCCCCGGACCCCCCTATAACCCACCCAACGGCTATATAGCCGTTTGGGTTGTCCCCAGCCCCACCCCCAACGGCTAGTAGGAGCCCAACGCAATTTTTTTTTTTTTTTTTTAAAATTGATCGAACCGGTCCCGGGCCCGGGTCCGACCCGGCCGGGCCGGGTCACAAAATCCTGAACCGAGCCCGCCCCGCCCCTTCCCCCCGGTTCAGACCCAGACCCGGTCCCGGACCGCCCGACCGGGCCGGTCCCGGGCCCGCACAGTACCGGGCCGGGCCGGGTCACGGGCCGGGTGGCCCGAACCGAATCCATCCCTAATGTTGCGATTAAAACGGAACGGAGGAGGATACGTAGTACTACCATATCGAACATAAAACCCAAAGTTATTTAGCAATAACTCTTTTTATCATATAATTCCTTAGTTCTAAATAAATTTCCAAGTAACATTTCATGTTATAAATATTAACGTGTTGGATGAAAGAATTACATATCATGTGCATGAAAAATCAAAATGATGTGAATGAGTAAACTACAATATGTGAATCAATAATTCATGTGTGTTATACTCCCTTGCGTTTTCAAAATGATTTGCAAATTAAAGTAATTTTTTATTAATACAATTCCGTTTTTTCTACTTATTTAATATTTTTTTATTTACATTTGGGTTTTATGATTATAAAAAACATTCAATGCTATTTTTGAACTTAAATTTTAATTATTAAACCTGATTAAACTATTTGCAGGGATGATTTAAATTTATCTTGAGTCAACCCTATTATATATATATGCGGGATAATATTAACTATATGTATGCATGGATGATTTAACTTTAATTTTGAATCCCGTCTAACTAATTTAGAATTAACATTAGCTCGAGTAAAATACACTAAATTTCACTAAAATAATAAATTGAAATAAAACATAACATATCATATCAGAATCAGATACTCCCTATAATATGTCCCTGTTTTTTCTCCCATTTCGGCTGGGCACACTAATTAAGATAGTGAGTTTTGTGTGGTGGAGAGTTGTGCAGAGGAGAGAGAAATGTGTAAGAATGTGTAAGAATGATTCTGAACCACAAATTCTTTGCCAAAAAGGAAAGGAGAAGATAATTTTGGGACGGACGAAAAAGGAAAATTTGAAGATAATTCAGAGACGGATGGAGTAGTAACATATACATAAGATCTGCCTTTTGAGGATCTCTAATGCACAAATCTAAGCCGTACCCAAGTAATAAAAGAGAAATAATTACACTAATGTAGAAAACACTTTCTATATAAATTAAAAAAACACTTTTAATGTAGATAAAATCAATAGATAAAATATTTCCCTTTCCTATGTTCAAGTCTTTTGCATGTTTAATAACATTTTCTTACATCGTCAAGTACAAAAACTAGATAAAAGTAACGGCTAAAGGGTCAAATAGGTACATGAACTAACTTAAAGTGTTTAATTAGCCTCTTATATAGAAGGTTCTGCTCGGCCATCGCCAATTGGGGTGGTTCCCGGTGGAATATTTTGATGAATTTTTTTAGCATCTTCTTCATTAAGTCCAGTTTACCCATACCAAATTTCAGCTAAAAATTCAACCAGGAAGGCAGTCAAATGATTTTTTGAAGATAACTGCGCAGTTAAACATCGCAGTACATTTCGGACAATCATTTGACTACCTTCCCAATTTAATTTTTAGCTGAAATTTGATATGGGTAAACTAGACTTAATGAAGAAGATGCTCGAAAAATTTCATCAAAAAAGGGGCTAATTGAACACTTTAAGTTAGTTCATGTACCTATATGACCCTTTAGCCTAAAAATAACTAAAAAAACCAGAAGAGTAAAAGGTTGTGGAAAGAAAGAAAAAAATCATTGATTTAAATTTATGCGCTTATTACTCACATGTCACATATACACCATGGTCCGATGTTTGTACTTGGATTGAAAATTTCTGGTTTAGTCTGTTCTAGTCTGATCTGATTTGATCTGGTCTTGTTTAGTTTTCTCTGCTCTGCTCTGGTTTGAACTGATCTGATCTGGAAATGTCTGATTCCTTTATATTTAAAAATATCTAAGTCTGATATGATCTCATATGGTTTGGTCTGGACTGGGTTGAAAACACTGCAAATAAAACATCTTTATAGCACAGAAAATGCTCGATCAAACCAATTCAATTGTTACCATGGTAGACCAATATTAAACAGAGCAAAGCAAACAAATTAAACATATTCTAAAAAATTCAATGAAAACAGAAACATCTAACTTGAAATTCCAATTTTCATCAATTTGTACATGACCATCATTAAAGTTTGATGGACAAGGACAAACATTCGCCGTGAATTGAGCACTGAATTTGTTAAAATCATTATTGTTATTAGGACCACAATACTTAATGCATTGGATTATTTGGAAATATATATTTCTATTAAATACAGAAAATGATCCTCTAGTTCTGAGAACAATGTCCGATAATATAATAATCATTTTAAAAACACAAGTTGTTCATTCATGGTTATTTCATTTTTGTTAATTTTTAATAGGTAAAATCAATGGTACATTCACATATGCATGGAAAACAGTACCGGTGGGCGTAGCCCAACTGGTATCGAGGGAATGTCACAAAGGTTAGGTCCCAAGTTCGTATCCCGGCAACTGCGATGAGAGGGGCTATGCTAAATGCTAGGGCCTCTGCAAGTACCGAGGACAGAGCCCCACTCTCTATATGTCAGGTTGGGATTATAGTTCAATTTACATCCTGTCAATGTATCGTCCGATCGGGGTTGGGGGGTTCTCAGGAATGGGGTGTCATCATTTTTTTTGAAAACATTTTTTTTAAAAGAAGAACACTTATTTATTAATAATAATGGAAGGGACAACTAGACAAGAGACAAAGCATACAATAGCTCAGATCAGAGTTACCCTAGAGTGAAACATAGAACTTATCAGACCCTGAGAACATGCCAAGATCGCTAACCCCGCATCATGGTAGACTAATCTAACAACATCATTGTACTTGTTACTAAAATAAATGGACATAAAGCTAGAGTTATTAAAATGAAAATAACAAATAGAATCAAATCTACTGGATTTTCATACCACCAGTAAGGGAGAAGAGGTTTGATCAGCAACCTCCAAAGAAGTCATTCTGATTTTACCATCCATCGTGAAGAGAGAAGAGATTTGTCCAACCACCTTCAAATGAAGCATCATGCTCACAAGATCTAAAAGAATTCCACGCGATGCTTGTAACACCGCCCCCGAGTATTCGTACTGTACCAAATTATGTATTGAACCTTGAGAAATGTATAAAAGCATTTTTACGTGATTGTAAATTTTTATCATTTCTATTACGTGAATAGTAAAATTCACGTGGGGCCCACACCGGATGTGGGGCCGCCCGATATTATCGGGACCACATATTACATTAATCTTGGATTAGATAATATGTATATGGTGGTGGATATCCTAATTGGGCCATGACAATGGCACAAGGTTGACCGGTTGGTCAAACGGGCCAAATTATCGGTATCGGCAATTTATTAGATAACAGCCCGAAAAGGGATTTCAGAGACTTCTAAATTAAAGTTGGGGAATGCATATTGATCCTAAGGTCCAATAAGGATTGGGAACAGGTTTTATATTTTATTTGACCCGATAAAATAAAATATACTTAAAACAGTCCGGAAAATACAACTTTCGGGACCGATTGTACACTTGGGAACATAAAGGGATGGACTCCCACATGAGTGGGGGCCACCCCACGAATTTGGTGCTGCAAATGTCAAAGGGAGCCGCACCTAATGCTGCTGATTGAGGCTGGAGATGAGTGGGAGACAAGATGAGAAAAGAAAGGGGCCCTCCTCCCACATTATTATGAATGAGCCAAAGGAAGGAACCATCCTCACCCCCCACACCTCATCCACTCGACCCAGACCTCAATCATAGGGAGAGAAGCTCTGCTAAAACTCCATTTTTCACCCACCATTTTCGCACAAAGCAAGGGGAGGAAGAAGGAAGGGAATAGAGAAGAGAAAAGTTGGTTTTGGAGAGGAAAACTTGTGTTTAGCAAGGTAAGGACTCCATTAATCCCATTTCTTGTTCTTCAATACTCTTTTATGATTATTCAATCATATTTCACACCCTAGTAATGTTCTACACGTTGGGATGTGTAGGAAGAGGGGTTGCAAGGTAGTTCTAAGTCCAAGAACGGACTTAGAAGCCAAAGTGACCGGTTCGCCGGAAAATAACCTTTTTGAGGTTATTTGTATTACTATGGGTTTTATGATGATAAAACCTTGTTAGTAACTTGTCTAAGGTATTCAAGGAACTTTCACGGAGTTGAAAAGGTCGCCGGAGTTGTCGCCGGAGTTCGTTGAAGTTCGCCGGAGTTTCGTCGGAGCTAAATCGGGGAGGCTAGAACTTCATAAGCTTCATTAAGGTGAGAAGACGGCTTTATGCTTTATAACTTTTGCGTGAGGCATGAGATTACCTAAAGTAATCAGGAATATGTTTTGTGGAATGATTAAAGATAACCAAGTGTGTGTTTATGCCATGATTATACACAAAACATAGTTAAAAAGCATGTTATGTAGGTTTGGTGATTAAAAATGTGATAACATACTTTTTGTGATGATCCAGGGATCCAAAATGGTATTTTTGGATCAAGGACATCAAGAAGTATATGTGTATAAAATTTCAAGTTAATCGGACTCCGTTTGGGGGGTCAAAAGGGGCGTTGACCGCCAAGTCAACTGCCATACCCGATCGGGTATTGACACATACCCGACCGGGTATTTGTTGAAAATCAGCTTTGTGGAATACTGTCTCCTGTACTCGACCGAGTATGGGTTAATACTCGATCGAGTATTGGGTTATGCTCAAAACGGGCAGTTTTGAGTAGGTTAACGTGGGCCGTTCGGGTGGGACCCGCCCACGTTGATCCTAAGGATCGTTAT